ACAAACATAGTCGAAACCAACCAACTGATCGTCTTCTACCTCGAAGAAAAAGACTTGTGTAGTACGCAAACGTCTTGCTAGCCCCGACGAACCGATTGCTTCGCGTTTAAAACGTTCTCGAGTCAAAAGAGTTAATTAATCAGAAGTCTTTTCGACACATTCTTTTCTACATTTCTCGACGCGCACATTTTTTAACTGGAAAATTCGTATACGATGTTTCGACACAGCTTCTCTTTATTAATCCTTTTCTTCCGAAATAAAAAAAGAGTGACATCATAAGATAATCTATAAAACATAACTCTTCATGAGTATTTCGAATTTATTTGAACATTAAATTATGCATTGTGTAGTAAGCTGTCAGACCACCAACTCAGTGGTTAACTCAGCAATGAAATTGTTTTTTTTTCAGGAATCTACATAATCTTATAAATATTTCAGCTCATCAAACGAATCGATGCACATTTAAAAAAAGATTCCAAAACCGATCAATTCAATTTGGTAATATCAAGACAGATACGACAAGTTACTTCATTCGAAGTAAGTTATCTTCGTATTTATATTATTAATCCAATATTTCTGTGCATCTAGGTTGAATGAAACGAAGAGTTCTACTGTTAACTTATGATTTTCCTGAAAAGCTTCGTTATCCGTTTGCGTCACGATTAATCAAAACATTCATGTGATACGTAAGCGTTTTTCGACAATATATTGATATCATTTTTTTCGTTCAAAAGTATGTTTAGATTGAGCAGAAAGGTGGGTAAGTTATCAGACGTAATTATTTCAACACAAAACAAAATGTATGGCTTCCTTCATTCCTCAGTTAACGTATAGGAATAATCGCATCAAGTAGTTTTCAGATTTGAAACTGATCACCTATATTCTTTGACTACGTTTAGAGCGAGATAAATAGGAACACATCGAAATGCGCAATATAACTTGTTTCACGCATGCGGCAATGAACGAACAACCTGAGTGGTGAGTTACGAAAATGATTGAAGAAATTTATCGTATAGTTGTCATAATGATATATTTAGATTCAATACATAAACGAGCTCTTAGGTATGTAATTATTTCATTTTGAAACTATTCATTTATTTCCATTTATCTTTAGAATTTATTCTGCGAAATCAGCATAACTGTAAGTGAAATCTTTTGTTGTAAACTAATGATTTCCTTTTTGATTTAAAGACCGATCAACATCGTAGATCCATAGGTGAGTGTTTCTGATATGAACCAGTTCTCTTTTACTGTATTTAGTTTTTCAAATGGATAATTTCATTGACCTGTCGCCACTCGCAGTCATTTGATTCCTGAATTTTACATTCAAAAAATTCTGAAGTAAAAGTTGAGTGTTGTGTAATTATTTGGTCTGAATTAATATGATTCTTTTATATTTATAGTGTATTCTCGCATCGGCTTAAGACAAAGATTGTTTGAACATTATACTTTTTTGCGACTTGTATAGTGAACAGTAAACTGCACAGCGAATGGCCTGTCGCATTTAAATCCGCTCTGTTTGTAGTAAACAGCGGAGCACAGTCATTGAAACAGCTCGGTATCGTATCGGAGAAGTGCTCCGATACGAAATCATCGAATCGAAATAAAAAGGATGAAGTCGCACCACATTTTGTGTACGAAACCTTTTTTGTCATACGTGACCTATGGATTTGTACGAAATCCTAGCTACGAAATCATTTCACGCCCAGTTCCGAGAAGGGTTTCATACGAAACCAAAATAGATTTCGAATTCGTTGCAAAGTGCCGAATCCTTTTTTGGTTCCGTATAAAACCTTTTTTGTTTTCAGTGTAGAACAACCAACGATGCAATATCTTAGAAGAAATAGAAAAAAAAGAGGGTGCAGTATATCTTACCTATATTTTATATTTTTTTAACATTTTTGTAAATATCGTCTAATTATCGTATAGTGTATCGAATTCAATCGAAAATGCGAACATTTTGGTATTATGAGACGGATTCAACAGAAATGGCTAATAATTGGTTACCTTTTTCTGATATTGGATGTGAAATTCTTGAAGAAGCATTTAAAACGAAAGACGAAGAAATTGAACTTGATGATTATGTGGTAAATTTGAAGGAAAATATTTTAATAAAAAAAGAAAATAAATCAAAACAATATCGAATAAAACGTGTCGAAAATGTTTCAAGAACTGAAATGATACGACATGGTCGATTTTGTGATTATGAACCATTAACAAATCGTTCGTTCAAAGAAAGTGATAATAAAGGTGATTATCGTGGTTTTATTTGGAGTTGGTACGAAAAACAGAATGAATCTGGTGTAGTGAGTCTACCGACTATCATCGAAAAAGCTGCTGTTGGAATACAAATTGAAGGTAAATTATGTAGGAAGTCACATGAAGCTAATTGGTTAACAAATCGGTTATTACAAGTAAAACATCAAAAAGAAGATATAGTTGGAAAATGCTGTATTATGTTATATACACGCGAATGTTTTCTCTATTCAACGATTAATCTTGCTTTGCGAGCTGATGATCAAACAAAATTCGATACTTTAGGTCCATTTTGCTATTTATTGAAGTTTGTTGGACTTTTGACTTTGTATCCAGACTATATGTATGAACAAATTGTTTATCGAAGTATGAATTTGAATTTGGATCAAATCGAACAGTATAAAAAAGCTGCTATTGATGGAGACTTAAAACAATGGTTATGTTTCTCATCAACAACGAAAAGTCGTCGGGTAGCGAAATTTTATGGTGGAAATTCCTTATTTATCATTGAATTACCTATTAATGAATACTCTTTTGGCATTGACATATCAAAATTTTCAATTATTCCCGAAGAAGAAGAAGTTTTATTGCCAACTCAAATATGCTTTCGCGTAAAAAAAGTTGATTATGATGAAAGCAAAAAAATGCATATTATTCATTTGAATATGAATATGTATTCTTGAATTTTATACTTAATTAAGCACGTAATATTGAGATTGTATTATTTCTTCTATTTAATCGTCTCATTGCTGCTGTTTTGAGTGGTTCTGTAAAAATAAAAAGTGTAATCATCATAACTGATGGGGATATACCATATCAACAAATAAAAATGCAATACGAAGATAATATGTAGCAGAACTTATAAAAAATGCCATTAATGAAAATATTCCATAAGGTAAACCAATTATTCCCTCTACTGAAAGGAGGGTAGTGCGTCGAGCTGATATCACCGAAAAAACGAGTTGATGTTCGTTCGTTCGTTCGTCCGTTCGTTCGTTCATTTTTCTTCCAATATTGCCTAATACTAGCTCATAGTAGTAAGGGTTGACCGAAGAGTAATCGGGGTCGAGGATCACGAATCTGGTATTAGTTTCTCGAAATTCCAATTAGCTAATTAACTAATTAAGTAATGAAATTTTTTTTGTTCCCGGGTAAGGGTTGACCGAAGGGTAATCGGGGTCGACGATCTCGAATACGGTGTTAGTTTTTTCATGAACACCTTCTAACCCCTTTTTTTGCGACAAAGGATCAATTTTTAGACAATAATATTTTAAGCGGCAATATGTAGAACAGAAAATGTAATAGCTGACTGACGTTCGATCGCTGGATCTCCATAGTCGTCAGCATATTAATGAGATCGCACACTTTTATAAACAGGTATATTATACGAATATCATCTGATGCCAGTCATTCAAAATACTGTTTCGCTTGTCAGGTGTTTCGGCATGCAACAATCCCGATTCGATTCGATTTCGATTCTAGAATCGGATGGAATTGGTTAGAATTGGAATCGGAATCGAATGGAATTGACCCAGAATTGGCTGGAATTGATCCGAGATAGACTGAAATAGATTACTAATTTTAACTTAGACTAATATTAGTTTCAGACGGTCTTCGTTAATGGCAGACAAATTTCTAGGAACAAGAAGCATTTAGAATTATTTTCCTGTTAGAGCTCACATAGTTCTTAACTATGTCACGTTAGTTTCAAATCACATCCGGTCAATTCCAGCCGGTTCCAACCAATTCCATTCGATTCCGATTCTAGAATCGGAATCGGGATTGGTGCATGCCTACAGGTGTTGTCTTCGACAGTTACAGTAGCACAAAGAGGGTGACTTTTAAACAGGGAATAGAGAAGAATGGATGAATTAGTTTCAAAAGTGACTCTAGACTAAATGGAAGAGTGAAAATGTACATGTAACGGCTAGCCGCGAGTGGCCGACCGGAGGGAGGCCGACGAGCGACTAGTCGTCGATTTCCAGAATAATATTTTTAAGAACAAACTTTTTGATTTTTATAGAGCTTTAAGACTTCTTGGTTAGAGATTAATCGTTGCTTTCCACGAACATAGGTGACAGCTATTTAAGGTTCCCCGTGGTGGAGAGAAGATTGAAACCTTTTTCAGAGAATCATATAGTTACGTAAAGCTTATAAGTTTTTGATTATGAATTGATTTTCCGAAATGTGCTCATTTTCGGAACGCGTCTTCGTCCGAATGAAGTTAAGATAGTAAAATGGGTACGCATGGGAACAGGTAGCCGTGAATGGCCAACCGAACGGAGGCCGACGAACGAATAGTTGTTTCTTTTGAATATTAGTTGAAAAGTGACATTTATAAGACTGTCGCATAGTGACCATAATTTTTCTAAGGTATATAGTATATATATATATAACGTCTTTTCAAGCTGCGAGAAAAATATGTAGATTTCCAACTCATTCAACTAAAAATCATGACAAAAGGATATACTGTAGGTCACGAAGTTGTGAAGAATTTCGGCAACCTTGCTAGAGACGGACTCAACAAGAACGAGGTACTTTTTAATATGAAAATATCATTAAACACTTATTAGGTACCAACGGCTAGCGGTGATTGGTTGACCGGAGAGAGGCCGACAAACGACTAGGCGTTATAATCTCAGAAGATTTCAGGAAGCGAAATTGGTATAAGTAAAACATTCTGACAAATTATTAAATGATCAGATCGTTCACCTGAAATAACATTTTTCTCTCTTTGGATGAATAGTGGCGTTCTAATACTATCCTTTCAGTAGAGGGTTTAGCGGCTACTAGACCGCGTTACTTGTATGTTATGATTGGTATCCAAGTTCACAACCGTCTTTATAACTTTCTATATGACAGTAAGAGTGAATTCATGAAGAATAGTCGGGCTCAACGTTGATGCTACAAACTTATGCGTAGAAGAAATAATTTAACGAATTAGCTCCAATATCCCTCCTTATATGTACTTTCTCTAAGAGAAAAAATTCGCACACGTTTACAGCCGAGCATTTAGATAAAAAAAACCAGATATACCATGAACATGAATACAAAGCAACCCCGATTCGGACAGTTGTACCATTATTCATCCCACAATCGACCTTTCAGGATCACTCCGGACGTTTTCCACGACATCGCCATTTTTCCATAGGTACCGAAACGGCTGCGCAAAATGCAAGCACGCGTCCATGTTTACCCTCCTTCATATACACATAGCCTAATTTTTCCGCAATCCATATAATTCTTATGTCCACGAGGGGCAGAATAGCCACCCAAATTTCAAGCCCCTTTCTGTAATAGTAGCGTGCTCTTGAAACATGACCGTTCATTTCTAATATCAGCCCAATACGAACATACGACGCAGCCAAATTCGGACGATTTGGTGGAAGTGACTCTTTTCGAATGCAAAGCGCTTTCTCAAGATACTGAAGCGCCTGAGAGTAATTGCCCATCTTATGATGCACCAGGCCAATGTTAGTATAGCATGTAGCGAAACTAGGATGATTAGGTGGAAGTGATTCTGTTCGAATGGAAAGCGCTTTCTCATTATACTTAAGTGCCTTAGAGTAATTGCCCATCTCACAATGCATGACACCAATGTTGGTATAGGATGTAGCCAAATCTGGATGATTTGGTGGAACTGATTCTGTTCGAATGGAAAGCGCTTTCTCATGATACTCAAGTGCCTTAGAGTAATTGCCCATGTCGTGATGCACCAGGCCAATGTTAGTATAGGATGCAGCCAAATCTGGATGATTAGGTGGAAGTGATTCTGTTCGAATCGAAAGCGCTTTCTCATGATACTCAAGTGCCTTAGAGTAATTGCCCATGTCGTGATGCACCAGGCCAATGTTAGCATAGGATGTAGGGAAACTAGGATGATTAGGTGGAAGTGTTTGCGTTAGAATCGAAAGCGCTTTCTCATGATACTCAAGTGCCTTAGAGTAATTGCCCATCTCACGATGCATGACACCAATGTTGATATAGGATGCAGCCAAATCTGGATGATTTGGTGGAAGTGATTCTGTTCGAATCGAAAGCGCTTTCTCAAGATACTGAAGCGCCTGAGAGTAATTGCCCATGTCGTGACGCACCGCACCAATGCTAGTATAGGATTTAGCGGAACCAGTGTGATTTGGTGGAAGTGATTCAGTTTGAATCGAAAGCGCTTTCTCATGATACTCAAGCGCCTGAGAGTAATTATTCCTCGCATGATGCACCAGGCCAATGTTGATATAGGATGCAGCCAAATCTGGATGATTAGGTGGAAGTGATTCTGTTCGAATGGAAAACGCTTTCTCATTATACTCAAGCGCCTGAGAGTAATTACCCATGACTTGATGCATCGAACCAATGTTAGCATAGGATGCAGCCAAACTAGAAGGATTTGGTGGAAGTAGTTGTGCAACATTTGTAAGTGAGTTCTGATAAAATCCAAGAGCTTCATTGTAATTCCCTTGTGCTTCTTTTATTCTTCCAAGTAGGGATGAAATGATGTATGTTGAGAAAACCCTGTCATCTTTGCGATTTGTATTTCTTAGTAAAGATTGGCAAAGATGTTCTGCTGCATTTTGCTGTCCAATGTGGATTAGCAGTTGAGGTAGGGCATAGCAGCTCTGCAGATCAGTGTAACTGTGGTGCTTAATGTATTGGGTTAGGTTATGTAAATCTTGATCATTGTCAGTGGTAAGTGATAAATGAACCTTATATAGTTTATCGATATGATTAATTGGTTCGATGTCATGTATGCGAAATATGGAATGCATCGAAAAGAGGATTTCGTTTTCTTCGAAAAAATTACTGATTTTCTGTATCGAAGCGAATGGTGTTGTTGTGTGGGTGGGATCTATCTCCATAACATAAATAATTCCTACGTCGTCGGGATTTATTGCATTGCTTTCACCGAATATAAGCGCAACACGAGAGTCAGTAGAGGTAGATAGAAAACTGTTGAATGATATCAATCCATGCTTGGCTTTTTTAAGCTGATTAAACTTTGTTTTGGATAACGCTTGTCCTCGATATACTGTAAACGGCTGCTGACACGAGTTATCGAGATATTGGTCTTTGTGTAGTTGTTCAATATTGCGATGAAGAGCAGTAATAAAGAATCCCATTCGCTGAATAATATCGCCATCCAATATCCGCAAAGAACGATTGAGCATCAAATAGAGAAAACGATAGTAACTGTAGCACCATATTGGGGACTTTTCATTATATTCACGCTCGAATTGTCGGATACTGTTGACAGTTTGTAGATTGTCGGCAACTGTATCACAACAGTAGTTGCAATATTCACTGAGATGTTCTTCGCTGTATTCGATAGTCAACATAATGTCCTTCATAATTTGTGTATACATGAAAGTCGGGTCCAGTTTATTCGATTTTTCACCGGGCGTTACGAAACTGATTGGTATATCGTTCTGGTCATGTTGTCGAGTCAGTTGTTGGAGTTTCTGACAGAGAACTGTTACTTCTGTGAAAATACCTTTCACTTTTGACCATGCTTTCTTCCATTCGTCGTCACATGTGATAGAGTTACCAAAAATGAATATAGAATCCAGTTGAGAAATTTCGTGTATACAAGGTATTGTATGTCGTTCAAGAGAAGCTGCGAGAATTAGACAAACTTTATTATCTGTTACGGTGGTAATAAAATCGACACATTCATCACTATCTTCAAAAGTATAGGCAGTACTAACAATGTCTTGAAGTTGTGTAGATGTATCTTGACAATTTGTATCATTCGTTTTCAACCAAATAAAGATAGTGTGTTGTGCCTTTTGAAGATTGATACGTCGCCGCATAATATCATCGTCATAATTGATACGCTGCAGTTCTTTGATCTTCTCTGTTTGCTTGTACGACTCGGCTTCTATCAAGCTCAATTTTTCCATGAATTAATGTGTAAATATAAGTGTATGAGATTGTTTGAAAGCTGCGTTGATAAAAACAAGCAGATTGGTTTGATTTATATAGTAGATACTTCTCTGTTGGCTTTTTCCAACTTGGATCGTATTTTTTCTCTATAGTTAATTACTGTATTAACGTAAAGACACATGTGACAAGAGGAAAAATCAGTCTCGTCAAAATAAAAATGCAAACACATACAGTAGCGCATTGTCACAGTTGGTTAAATCACTGCAGAAAAGTACATGTGATGTTTGTCATATTCATATGCAGGCGAGAAGTAGACTTGAGTATCAGTTGATGAGCAGTTGGCGTGCGTTTGAATGAATATAATCTTAACCCATTCAGGACGGGATTATTTTTTGCGAAAAAACATATGGAAGAGAAAATTTATGAACTAGTTTATTCTTTTCTTCTTTCAAGTTTATTAATATGATTGCAATGTATGATATTCTCGAAAACAGTTTGCAACACATAAACCTACATTACATTCAGAACATTCATACTTAGTACGAGAACGCTTTTTGGGCCGTTTGCCGGTCGTACTGCAGACAATACATCTTCGTGATCCTCCACCAGTTTGTGATGGGAAATGGCGGGCTGTTAGTCGCAATGGTTTGTCAGCAGATGGTCGACCTCTCCTTGTATTTCGTTGAGTACCATATTTGTCAAATATCTGTCGAATTACTTCTAGACGAAAATCACTGAATTCAAGAGTTACGTGTTTCTTTTCCTTGTAAAGTATGTAAGCATTTAGCATTGATAAATCGAGTAGATGGAAAAAGAACTTCTTATACCATTTGATCGTTTTGCGAATACATTCTGAAAAACTAATTTGCATATCAGATTTATCTACTAAGCCCATATTTTCGTTGTAGTCCTTGATGCAAAGAGGTTTTGGTATTGGTTTGTTTGTTATACGACTCATTTTATTAGTTAGAGCCATATCTGGTGCATGGATTGTAGATAACATGTGAACATCGCGCTTATCGCGCCACTTCAATGCAAGTAATATATTTGTATGTTGAAACGTTTGTTTACCTTGTTGTAACTTCGAAGGAAATGTTGGAAGACCAACTCTGTTGCATCTGACAGTTCCACAAGCACCTGTTCGTCTATAGTGTAACTTTTCGAACAGAATGGGGCTCGTATACCAATTATCAATGAAAAGTACATGACCTTTGTCTAAATAGCTATCCATCAGAGTCATAACAACTGAACCCGATATTCCCAGTTCTTCATCCAATTTAATCTCTGTCTGTTGACCTGTATAAATGATAAAATCCATAATGAAACCCGTGTGACAATCGCATAGTACAAATAATTTCACACCAAAACGATGTCTTTTTGATGGTATATATTGCTTGAAACTCAAACGTCCTTTCCATACCATCACGCTTTCATCAATACACAAATTTTTGTATGGTTTGATGCAAAGTTTGAACTTCTTTCGCAAATGATCAAGAATTGGCTTTATTTTATGCAATCGATCACCATCTTGCTGTTGCTGATTATCATTGAAATGTAAAAATTTCAGAATTAACAGAAATCGGTCTCTAGTGAACATTTGGCTGAAAATTGGAGTAGAAATAAGCTGATCTGTAGACCAGTAGTCCTTTATTCGGTTCTTTTTCGTATGAGCCATAAGCATCACGATGGCTAGAAAAGAATACAACTCAGGAACGTTCGTATCACTCCATCGTGCCTGATGAGATATAGAAGAATCTGGAACACTTTTGTTTGAAAGTGATTGGTATTTATTTGTTTCATTCACTATTTGTTCTAATATTGTCCGATCGAATAACACTTCAAAAAAATCTAATGGAGATTCATTTTCCAAGTGTAATATTTCTGAATTGAGCCCAGTCTCTTGTGTAAAGTCAAAAAGATGAGGCGTAAAATGACCACCTCTCCAGGATCTATGAGATACAGATGAAAAATCGTCATCATCAGATTCTTCATCGCTGAAATCATCAATAAAGTCGCTGTCACTGTCAGATTCGATATTCATGCAAATTTCATTCACTTCTGTATTTCGTTTATGTTTGAATACCGCCATGGTTTGTCCAAATAACAACAAAGTAAACGATGTGAAATAAGTGGTAATTTGTAATACTTTTTTACTATAACGTTTGTGGAAGAAATTGATTAATAGTCAATGAATTAAACAGTTTCAAATGGTGAATGTGTATATATATACGTCAGAGTCCGAAAAGAGAGAGAAACATCCAGAAGATAAATGAAAGAAGAAGAATGTACTTGAATATACCAGAATAAAAGAATGTATATGAATTCAAATACAATAGCAGAACGAAAAAAGTGAAGATGCAAGAGAGTACACACACACATATACATATATATATATTTGTATGGATGATGCGAAAAGATAAAAAGGAGATTATATATAAATAATGACATCATCTAAAACTTGCTTTGATGGTCTAATGCAGAGAAAAAGAGCGAAAAGCATGACTGACCACGATAACTACACCACATATATATCATTATGATAGGTATATTATGATACATACGCAGCTGTTTCTGATGGCTAATGGATAGCGTTTCACTGTTCAAAAACAATCAGTGGCCACTATAGTGGCCACCCGTCCTGAATGGGTTAATGAATACGTGGAAAAGAGTTATACAAAATATCATTAATTTTTCAACATCTCTTACTTGGTACATAAAACAAACGTTTAGTTGTAACGTATAGACACCACACGGAATCTTCACTTCATGTAGGTAGGGAATGTTTTAGAAAATCGAGAATATCATGTTCATCATCTATGGTTGATGTTGCTCCTATATGAAAGCATTATCAATAATTCACAAAAGACTTTGCAACAGATCGATTACGATTACATAGAACGACAAATTGAAGAAGTATTAAATGAAAAATTGATGGAAAACTCTTTTTCGAAATATATCGATGCCCACTGCACATATAAATTTAACAATAGAGAAAGATACGAATAAATTAGAGTATATGTTTTATGTTTTTCTTCATGATTTGGAGAACAAGTAAAAGTTATTTGTTAAAGGATTTAACCTCTCATCATATTATTTTTTCAAACAATGATGAATAAACAAAAAAAACGTTTATTTCACTACTAAATCAACTCAAACGAATGTTCATCAAAGGCACAGACTTCTGTTTGAGGAATAAGCCGATTGAGAAAACGAACATAAAACAATGCAATTATTTTTATCCAAAGTAACTTGAATAATGATTGATCTACTCAAATATTTTCACACGTTAAACAGTTTTGTAATGTATCGAAAGATTATCACGATCAAAGTATATACAAATAGATCCTTGATTTTCATTACAAAAAAAGAAAGTCTAGTCGGAACATTCATCCAACTCTTTCTCGTAGAAGCCTTATTGATAACTGGAGTTCCTCATGAACACTTACCATGGTATTATTACACCAAGATGCATCCTTATTCGTTTCAAACATATCTGAAGATAAAAACGAAATGATTCATACAACAATTGCTTGTGCAGAAAATGAGCGAAGACTTAGAAAGATGCTACAAATGCACTTGCTTAAGTTCAAATGACCAAGTTGTCATTCAACACAATAATCAAAGAAAGAATACGTGTATTGAGGGATCTATGTTCGTTTACCTATCAACAAACCAATGTTATTTGAAAAACTTGTTTATTAGTCTAGAAATACTAGACAATCAACAATAAATACATAAACTCGGTGAAATCATTCATTGAATATTCCCAATCACAAAAGAGAGAGAGAGAAAAAAAGGAATAAACAATTTTCAATCCCTAATGATTTATGTGTGTATTGCTGGTGATTGAAGGAAATATTGATAATATGCTCCCGTTTCTCTTTTCAATTCTTTGCAAGAAACTCAACAATTGTAAGTCGATAAGACATATGTTATCCGAGTGAATGCAGATTGAAATTCACAATAGAAAATATTGAAGTTTCGATGAATTCAGTATGGATAATACAACAGTAAGTTGACAATCAATTGTTTGAATATTTCTATCGATATAAGTATATAATTTAACTGAAGTTTTGAATTTCATCCTGCCTAGTTTACTTTTTCTCCCATTTTAAATCTGCATACTGACTATATTCGAAGAACACTCGGTGTGTGTTTTGAATTTCTTTGGTATTGAATTGTGGCAACTGCGATGCTTGTCGATGATTCTTAAAAAATGCCGGCAGTTCTCTCATGTTCCTTTCTTTTGCATTTGATGAACAAAACTGTGAACAGTTTTTGACGAAAATTGCAGCTTTGTGCGTACTTCATCATCTCTCTAGTGTTTATTCGTTAAATACTGAACAAGATCAGGTAATGGTATTTCAAATTCCTCAGCAATCTTTTCAAAAATTTTAATCGTTTTCGAGATATTTTTTCTTTGATTTGCGTTTTTGTTAAAGCCTTCGCGTTATCCGATGGTTCACATAAGTGTCGTAAAGTCGATACACGCGTGGAATGTAATGGTTCAATACGTTCAAGTAGCATATATCAAGGAGGATTGAATACAAATCACTCATAAAGTATTGTTTCGTTTGTTGACGATAATTTTCTACCATATTTTCAGCGGGAATTTCGAATGAAACTTGAAGTATTTCTTTCACTTTTTTAATGCAATCAGTGTCCTCGAGTAATTTCATTTCTACTTGATCAAAATGCCATTAAGCATCTTTTCGAATTTGTCAATATACAAATCTATCTTCTTGTTAGGATCTAATGTTTGTTTATATCCAATTTCGTTTTTGAACGAATTTATAAAACTTTTCATCAAACTTACGATCGATTGACTGACACAGGTTCTTGTAATTGGCAGCGTATTCTATTTGTTAGAACTGGAAAAAGAAAAAGCTGAAGAAACGACGGCACTAATGTGGAAACTAACGATGATATGTTATTGTTTTTTATCAGCAAAAGAGAAGCTTTAGTTGTTTCTCGGCAAAACCGATCGAAGGCGACAGTCAGAAGAAGGATTCTGCTTTATTTCCTCAACATTTCTCAATGCTTCATTAGACGACATACGCATTTTTCTTCAAAAACAAGAGGAAACTTTGGAAAATTATTATACATCGGATAAAGTATCATCACTCACAGGAAAAAGGAAAAAAACCCTCGTACTATCCATACGACCATCAGCAGACAACAGATCGATTAAACTTAAAAAGCTCTCATTTTCGGTAAGAGTGGTGTATACGGTGATAGATATTTGTGCATGGAAAAACGAGTGTTTTCACGTATCTCATCTTCTTTCTCTCGAAAAACTATTTACTCGTAATACGTGCCATAGTAAATAAGAAACCTCAATTACTCTATGCAGAATATCCAATCAGAAGGTATTCTAAAAGGTGGAGTCCAAACCAAGCATACATATCAAAAGATCGAGACTAATATTTCAAATCTCGTTTGACAAAATCTTTATCAGCAGACGCATCTTCCTATTAGATGATATACGGTATAGGAATTTCAAATGAATTTGTTATTTAAAGCTTATCTAAATCAACTTTTGCGAGAGAATCTTTAAATTTTCTTTTCCATATCCGTTCAGGATGTTTACCTTCATGATTATTTCTGTCTCTAGTTGCACTGTAATTCTTCTTTGTGCTGTCATTGCCGGCATACTTATCTCTCTGAATGGCAAAATTAAAACGAAAGTAAGTATTATTATCCGCGATTGTTGGATAGGAATACGACTGGTGAACTAAGGAGAAAAATGCTGATCGCCGATCATTCATCGTTTTAGATGTTTCCAATAATTTACAGCTAGCTTTGCTTTGTAGTTGATAAATGTCTCAAAAGAAGTGAATTGATATCGATAAGGTGTGCCGACACAAGATCTTTTTGTTAATTATAAACATCGAGTTTCAACATCAAGTTAGAATCAGAAAAATATAGAAAACAAATGATAAATACACGCCATGATTTTATTCTAGTCTCACGGAGGATTTTCTTATGAGAAAGATAATACCTCATCAAGCTTTTATAGAAAGTCAGTATTATTACAAGAACTCAGAAAAGGATAATTTTCGAAGCCAACCGAGACATTGATGACATAATATCAATATCTGAAAAAAACGATGCACATAGATTGATTTACAAGTGTATAACGAGTAAATAAGCAACAAATATAGTGTTAGCCTACAATTTATCCTCAAGATGGTCTGTTTGATTATTTTATTATTCAAATATTAAAATAAATGTCTATGGATTATTTGAAATATTCATTTAACCGCTTTGTCTTTCTCCACCAGTGATGAGAACTTTGCCCGATTGGAGCATGGTTGCCGTATGAGACGAGCGTGGAGATGAGAGTTTTCCTGCAGGAGTCCATTGACGTGTTGATGGATCAAAAACTTCCGAACTATCAAGAAAACCTGTATAGCCGTAGCCAGCAGTTGCAAGAACTTTTTCTGAGTTAAGTAGTGTTGTGGTATGGGAAGAACGTTCTTCTGTCATGTTATCAATAGCCA